CAAGAAAACCCTATATAGCAGTTCTACTCTGTTAACACATGGGGTTGCTTTAAGTCTGGGTGGCAGCTGACAAAGAAACAGTTTCTAGCCCAGGGTAGGAACCAGAATGAAAAAAAAAAAAAAATGCACTGCTGTGGAATCAGATCCAATTCATAGCAACCCCTCCTTGGGTTTCCGAGGCAGTATCACTACGGAAGTAGGATTGCCCAACCTTCCTTCCGAGGAGTGGCTGGTGGGTTTGAACCGCCAGCCTTCTGGTTAGCAGTCAAGTGCCTTAGGCACTATGCTACCAGAGCTCCTGGGAGTTAGATTAATACTGTCAAAATGTTGGGAAAAGAGTTTAGGCAGCTGGCTGGGTGGAGTTCTCAGATCTACCTCCAGTGCCCCCTAGTGGCCATATCTGAGAACCACAAGCTTTTGTTCCAAAACAAAAACCAAACCCAATGCCATGGAGTTGATTCTGACTCATGGCGACCCTCTAGGACAGAGTAGAATTGCCCCATAGGGTTTCCAAGGCTGTAAATCTTTACAGAAGCAGACTGCCTCATCTTTCTCCCAGCTGGTAGGTTGAAATCGTCGCCCCTTTGGTTAGCTGCCAAATACTTTAACCTGTGCCACCAGAATTAGGTGTGTCAAGTCGGTTCCGACTCATAGAGAATCTATGTACGACCGAATGAAACACTGCCCAGTCTTGCGTCATCAACCACAAGCAGGATCATGGAATTGAGAATCTTCAGGCTGAGACTGCAGCCACACACCCCGACTGCCCAAAGGTGGAGAGCCTTTTGGAAAAAGAGGTTCTGGTGGTTAAGGCATTTGGCTACTAACCAAAAGATTGGTGGGTTGGGCTCACCAGCTGTTCCAGAGAAGATGAGGTGGTCTGCTTCCATAAAGCTTTGTTGTTGTTTGTTGTTATATGCCGTTGGGTTTCTGAGGCAGTATCATTATGGAAGTAGATTGCCCTATCTTCCTTCCGAGGAGTGGCTGGTGGGTTTGAACTACCAGCATTCTGGTTAGCACTCAAGTGCCTTAGGCACTACACTACCAGAGCTCCCCCATAAAGCTTCACAGCCTTGGAAACCCAAGGGGGGTAGCTATGAGTCAGTAGCAAGTTGATGGCAGTGAGTTTAAGTTCCTTCTCCTAAGGTAAGGGAGTTTAGGTGGTGTAGTGTCTAAGGCATTTGACTGCTAACCAGAAGGTTGGCAGTTCATACCCACCAGCCAGCCACTCCATGGAAGTAAGATGGGGCAATCTACTTCTGTAAAGATTTACCGCCTCGGAAACCCAATGGGGGTTACTGTGCATCAGACAACTCCCAACTCAGGCAATCTACCTGGAGCATCTACCTGGAGTTCCCCACATGCAGCTTAGGAGAGGGGCTTGCCTCTGCTCTGAACAGGGCATTGTTAGACATACATTGCTCTGGGCAAGAGGGTCCCTCTGGGATTTGGACCCTGGTTATAGTCACTGTTCTTCTTAGACAGAAATGGCTGAGTTCCTTGGGGTACAGCAGGGGTTCAATATTCACAGAAGTAATGGCTCTCGATAATAATGACCTGTGTGTGTAGAGTAGCCTAGGTTAGGGCCAGGGCTTGGCCTGAAGCCACAGGCTGAGGTTATACCAGTTTAGGGTAAGGACTATGTTTGGGCTGAGGGTCTAATCAGAAAATGAATCTTTTCTCTATCCTCAAGAAAATGCCTGTCTGAATGGTTCTGCAAGAGTATTTGTTCTGTAAGAATTCCCAGGTGTATAGCAGAGCTGACAAGAGACAAGGTTGTAGTCACTTCTCGGTCACAGCCAGTTACCCAGAGGGAGCAAAGAATTGGACCTTTGGGCTCGGGACCATGGTCTAAGGGGACATCAAGCTCAACTGGCATAACATACTACACAAAACACTGTTCTACCTCCTACTTTGGCTAGTGGCAACTGGGATCTTAAAAGCTTGCAATCAGCCATCTAGATGCAATGATGGGTCTCTCCTTGTCCAGAGCAAAAAGGAACAAAGAAAACTAAAGATTCATGTAAACAATGAGTCCAAGTGACTGGTACACCATGCTATCCTCACCCTATACAACTATGAGACCAGAAGAACTAGATGGTGCCCAGCTACCACTGTCAACCACTCAGAGGGGGATGTATGTAGGAGATCCTGGATAGAGAGGGAGAACAATATGGAACAAAACTCAAAATCATTTGGAAAAAAAAGTGGGGGGGGACCAGATTTGCTGGTCTGATAGAGTCTGGTGGAACCACTGAGACTATGGTCCCTAGCTGCCCTTCAGGTCTGGAATTGAACCCACACCTGTGGCTTCCAGCCAAACAAAAGACAGGCATATGAGTTGAAAATTTACCTGAGGTAGATACACCCCTTGGAGAAAATAATAATGGGAGAAAGAAGGGCTGTTAATGCACAGGGAGACAGCTCAGGGGGCAGGAGTGCATGGAGGGATAGCAACAGGGAAGAGGTAACTATTGGGAGGAAGTGGGAAGGGAGCTATTGCATTGGGGTAAATTGTTGTCAATGTCATGAGACAAAATGCATGTGAACTGTTGTATGTGAACAGAACAAAGGTAAATTTGCTCTGTAAACTTTCACCCAAATCACGCACACACACATACACACAAAAAAAAGTTATTAAAAGAAAAAAGAAAATGCCTATCTGGTGACCCGAGTCTCCACCCAGAGGACTACTGTCTGGGTCTTCCCCTTTCCTGCCTGCTTGGGACTACAGAATCCAGCCTCTGTTGGCCATTCTGACCCCATCCCAGAGTACTTCTCTTCACTGGTCTGTCCTAAAAACTCACTGAAGAAACTGAACTCTGCAGATTCCTCTACCGCCACCTCCCATTCTTCCAAATCAGCAGCACCATCTCCCCCATCATTGCTCTTGCTTCTTCTCTGCCCTTTAGCCCCTTCCCTTCCTGGCAAAGTTCCAGTCACCCTTCAAGGTCCCACTCAAGCATTACCTCATCAAAAAGGCACCTCAGGTTGGGCTAGGGGCATCTGTGTCACAGCTCTCATCACCCTATTTCCAAAGTTTTTCTCTGCTCTCATCATGGATTCAACTCACATCTATGTCCCAAGCAGCCCACTCATAGCTTCTGGCACAAAGGAGGGGTCAGTCCCTGGTCCTGGATGGAAAGCAAGGATAGGCATTTATGCAGTAAGAAAGTTGGAGGAGGTCTTTTAGTCTTAGCTGGGAAGGATTCCCAATTATTTACTACTCATTGAAATCTTGGTACAGCATGAAATCACAATGGTGACAGCAGGCCAGGCATCTTTTTTTGGTGTAACTGAAGCCAGGAGCAGGGAACACAGTTTGAATGAGCCACAAGGGCCCTTCTAGCTTGGCCATTCCAGGACCCTACAGTTGGACAGTTGCCATTTACATGTGGTCGGCAGCTTCTGAAGTAGCTCCCGATGACACTCACACCTCCTTCCTAGTATTCACTCTCTTGTGTAATCCTCTCCTCTTGTTTGTGGCCTGGACTTAATGACTTGTACATAAACAGAATATGACAAAATGGATAGGTTATCGCCTCCAAGATTAAATTATTAAAGATTGTCACTTCCATCTTGCTTGTACTCTCTTTTTTGGCTCTTCTTGTTTATTCTCTCTGATAACACCAGCTGCCATGTTTTATGCTTTCCTATGGAGAGGTCCATGTGGCAAAGAACTGAGGGTGGGCTCTGGGCAAACAGCCATTGAGGAACTGAATCCTGCCAACAACAATATGAATGAGCTTGGACATGTATGGTCCCCCAGGTGAGCTTTGAGATGCCTTCAGCCTGGCCAACACCTTGACTGCAACCTTGTGAGAGATCCTGAAGCAGAGGACTCAGCTAAACTGTACCTAGACTCCTGACCCGCAGAAACTGAGATAACAAACGTTCTTTTAAGCCACTAGGTTTGTGGATAATTTGTTGCATAGCAACAGGTAACTAATACACCATAACATGGCCATGAGGGCTAAGGAGAAAGTACATGGAGGGCTCAGCAGGCAGTCCAGCTGGGGCCAGGGTCTTCTCCAACTCTCAGTGGCAGGATGCAGATGCAGCCCCAGCAATAACTCATAAAGACTCTCGTTTTCATTTATTTGTCTAGGAATATACAAGTCTCACTTAGTACAATGATCTCATTGAGAAAAAACAACACACATAGGAGGTGCTGGGTTTCTTCCCTCAGAAAGGCACAAAGATGTGGAGCTTGACTTTGGGGCCTCCTATCCTGGAACCAGTCTGCTGTTCAGAGGGTAGGCCCCCTCTGTGAACAGGAAAAGGGATCTCTTTCTCACACCCAGACTTGGGGGTGTGGGTAGAGCATAACTGAGGCCATTGGGAAATATATGATTCAGGCCAAGGCTGAGCCAATGCTGGGTCCATGTCATTAGTCTCCTAAGAAAAACCAATCACTCCAACCAGAACATGGTAGCCTGATAACCTAAGAGATGGTGCAACCGGGTCAGCCTTATTCCACAGTGTGGTACCATTGCCACTCCCATCTTTATCCTGGAGAAGACCATTCCAGGCTTAGATTTGAGAGACAAAGTAGATTGGGGTAGGAGCTGGGGGGAAGTTCATGGGTGGTAGGGGTGAGAAAGGAGAATCAAGCTGGAGATGTCAGAGGCGCACCACTGCCCTCTGCAAAATAGAGACAAATGTACTCCCCGAGTCTTCCACTGGGCAAGAGGGACCTCCCTGTAGTCTGGGGTGGGGAGGCTGGGAATACAGGTGTTTGCATGGAAGGTGGTTTCTGCCACTCACCCCCAAGGCAGAGCGAACAGTCTAACTAGCCTGAGTCCTAATGGCTGTCCTGCTTCCTCCAACTAGCCAGGACTGAGTTTCCTCTCTAATTTTGGGAAGAGAAAAAGGGAAAGTGGTAGAGAAATCAGAAAGGCTGAGATGTGTTAGTCACCATGTAGAACAGGACAATCCAGAAGTGAGAGGGCTTGAAACGGTCACTTTCTCCTCCTTAAAAAAAACCTAACATTGTAACAGTTTAACAAAATTATTATAATTTCTTTTAAATAACCCACAGACACCCATGATGCTTCCAAATTTACAGAACAAAAAGCACTTGAGAACTCGGCAGAAAATCGGTTTGTAGCTGCTTCCTCCCAGGTTCCTAAGAGCTGGCTCAGTTCACCTCCAGGACCTCAGTCTCTGGGAGGCCAAATTTGGTCTTGTGGTTGTCGAAGAGCTTCACCAGGGCCTCCATGTACATGGCATGGTACAGGTCAATGTCCTTCTGGGTCGGTTGCTCCAGCTTGGGAATGGTGATGGGCTCACCCACTGCAGGGATGGGGTAGAGGTTAGTCAACACCATTCAGGGTCCCCACCCCCACATCCACTGTGATGCTGATGGCAGCAACCCTGTGCTATGTATCTACACTATGGGTCAGGGCAAGTGCTGAATGCGTTCTGTGTCTCATCTCAGGTTGTCCCTTCTTACAGTTGAGAAGACTGAGGCCCAGCGGCACCCTTGGCTGCCCAAGGTCACACAGCCACTAAGGAGCAGGTGAGGATCCAGACTGGCTGATTTAGTGCCCTTACTGAATGCACTCTGTTGGGGGTTCCTGAAAGAGTTGTGGGATCAAATAACAGCTTTGCTTTTGTCCTGCTTGGGTGGGACAAGTCATTTCACCTCTCTGAGTCTGTTTCCTCATCTGTCATATGTGGACCCTTCTCACAGGGATCTTCTGAGAATTCTGGGAAATAACTTGACATGTTTTGAAAAGTGTGGATGGTAAGAGAGGGAGGTGGAGATCAACATTCATGTTATCTGTGCATTGTTTTATTTTCATATCCTGCTTCATCTTTATATCTAATCCACCCCCAAGTTCTGTTAATACTATTTCCCAAATTTCTCTAAAATCTATCCACTTCTCTCCTATCTCCACTGTCCAGCACTGTTCCCTAACTGGCTTCCTGGATTCCATTCTTGCCCCTTCTAACTAATTTTTGACACAGCAGCTCCTAGCTCCACTACTAACTTTAAAATGCAATCTGAACCCCTGCCCCCAAAATTATGCTCTTTCTATTCTTAAGATGAAGTGCCCACAGGACCTTGACCCCTCTCCAGCCACACTTGTGGCACGGTCCTGACTGCCTCCTGGAGATCAGACCTGGTATGGGATTTGTATAGAACCAGAAGGCATTTGACTGCTAACCAGAAGGCTGGTGGTTCAAACCTACCAGCCACTCCTCAGAAGGGGCAATCTACTCCCGTAGAGATACCACCTCAGAAACCCAAGGAGGCATCACTATGAGTCAAATTAACTCGATGGCAGTGAGTTTTTTGTTTTTTTCTTTAGAGTCATATACAAAGGTGAGTCTAGGGTCATGTCACCTGAAATTTAGGTAATCTGTCTCTACCTAAAAGTACAGAGCAAAATACCTGGCACTGATAAAGGAAAATATCTGAGTGAGCTTTGGCCACAAAGAGTCCACTGCCTGTGGCCCGCATCTTCCTAATGTAATGTCTAGTTTGTGAATTCTTAATAAGTGCACATATACACACATACACCCCAACAGCAAGTAATTCTTCAGAATCCTCTTGAAGGCATTTCCCAACTGTCCCAAATAAACCAAATCAGCACAGCTGATGCCAAGTGCAGCTGGTTTTGCTATAGTTCTCATAGGCTTACGTGCCAATCATGTTGATTCACCTCACCCTCCCTTTCTAAAAACCCATACAATCTTGCTGTTAGAACTTCACTTAGGCTATTGTTTCTGACAGAAGCTCTCTGCTCTCCTCCTCTGCCAGATAATTTCTATTCAGTGAGCAGTGTAAGAGTCACCCCCTCCCTGGGGTCCACTCTGACTTCCAGAGAACTCCTCACATCACCATTAGTCTATAATACAGTTTTCTCTGATGCACTGTGAGCTCTACAGACAGGGACTGCTGGTTCTTGTTTTCTCACCTCTCACAGGGCTTGGCTCACTGTAATAGAACTATAGCACCACCTCTGCCGGAGCACACCTCTGCTGGTCATTCCCATCAGCACTGACATGTATGGAAATCCTCATGGTTAAGAGCACAGACATCAGAGCGAGGTGGCCTGGATTTGAATTCTAGCTCTACTACGAACTAGCTGTGTGACCTAGGCAAGTTAATTGCTCTGTCACTTGACTTCCTGATTTGTAAATGAGAAATATAATAGTAGCCACCTCACAGATCTTTGTATTAAGTAAGTTAACAGAGAGAGTGAGCTTAGAGCAGTGCCTGGCACACAGTAAATGCATGTGAACTGTGATCATCTTAAAAACAAAGAAAACCCTCTTGGCCTCACAACCCCCTCCAATCATTGCCTCCATTTTTCTGCTGTCTAAATAGTAAAACACAAGAGTGGTTCCTTCTCACTGTCTCTGCTTCTTCCCTCCTATCCTCTCCTTTGCCCACTGGTACTAGCTGAAGTGTCCCCACCAGTCACTAAAACAGCTCTTGCTAGGTCACCACAGATTCTAAGTTGCCAAACCCAAAGGTGGATGCTCAGCTCTCATGTCTTCCCCCCTCAGCAGCAATGGCACTGATGATCATGTTCTCCTCCTTGAAATACCTCTTCCTCTTGGCTTCTGGATGCACCTCACTCTCCTGGCTCTCCTCCTCCCTCTGGCTGCTCCTTCTCAGCCTTCTTTGTTGGCTCCATCTCACTTCTCTGACCTTTTAGTGGCATCATGCCCCAGGCTTAGTCCTCAGCCCTAAGCCCTCTTCTCTATCTGTACTGTCTCTGGGAGGCCTCACCCTGTCCATGGCTTCAAATAACATTGATGTGCTGCTCACCAACATTACATTCCAGCCCCAGCTCCTCCCTAAACTCTACACTGGTATATCTAACACCACTTCAACATATCCACTAACAGGTACCTGAAGCACGTACCATCTAAAACAATACTCTTGATTCTCTTACACAAACATGCTCCTCTCCACCTTCCCCATCTCATTAAATGGCACCACCCATTCCTGGCATATGTAGTCCAAAACCTTAGAGTCACTGACCCCTCCTTTCTCTCATATCTAACATCAACTTCATCAGCAAGACCTGCCAATTCTACCTTCAATCTCTATCTTGACTCTAACTGGCTCCCACCACATCTGTTATCATCATCCTCTGAGCCTACATCTTCAGTCTGAGGCCACCTTCCTGTCGTGCCTACATTGCTACAAAACTCTTCCCTCTCCACCTACCTCTGGACACAAAAACATAAATTTCTCAAAAACATAAACATAAACTGCTCAAACCCTCAGAGACATCTCATCACACAAAGAATCCAATCCCAGCTCTCACATCTGGAGATCTGGCTCCTGTCCAACTCATTACCGCTATCTCCTATGTCTCTCCCTCCAGCACTTGTTCTTTTCTTCTGTTCCACACTTGACATTTTTTTCCTGTTCTCTGGATACACTAAGCTCATTACTGTCTCAGGGTCTTAGCACATGTTGTTCGTGCTGCCTAGAATGCTCTTCCTTTCCATTTGTCACATGGCTGGATCCCTCCCTTAATCCAGGATTTTGCAGAGGCCTTCCTGGATCACTGTCCTCTCACCTGGATTTATCATTCTTCACAGCACTACTTCAAATGAAATGTGGTTGTCTTCTGCTTCCTCCACTAGAATACAAGCTCCAGGAAGGTAAAGACATAGCCTCACTGTACAACTGATACGGAGAGCAGAGCCTGGAACATTGTAGGCAATTGATAACCCATTGCCACTGAATTGTTTCCAACTCATAGCGACCCTATAACTGAATAGAACTGCCCCATTGGGTTTCCAAGGCTAAATTCTTCATGAAAGCAGATTGCCACATCTTTCTCCTGCAGTGGCTGGTGGGTTCAAACTGCTGACTCTTCAGTTAGCAGCTAAGCGCTTTAACCACTGGACCATCAAGGCTTCTTAGGCATTTGATAAATAAGTTTAAAAGTTAAGCTACTCTCTACTCTGTGACAAATATTTGCTGACCCTACCACACGGGCCAACTCCCTTTCCAATATGTCCTCCATACAACAGCCAGAACAAACTCCTAACACAGATCTGACAGCAGTGGCACCCCACAGTCAGGACAACCTTCAGCCCATGGGCTGGGGGACTCACCAACAGTGGTGATGGGCTTGGAGTAGGGCACCAGCCCCCAGGTGTCAGAGGAGAAGAAGCCTCGGCCATGGAAGATGCATGGGGCAAAGCCAATATATTTCTGGAATTTCTTCTGGACCCATCGACCCCAGGAGCCCTCCTCGAAGATTATCTGCTTGTATACTTCATTCTCCCCAAAGGAGTAGATGGGAACCAGGTCGGCTCTGGAAGGGAGACGATAGGACCTGTCACAACTGAATTGCTGGCTTCAGATCCTACTTTCACAAGATATTCCTGACACCAATGAGGTGCACCTCTGCCCCTAAGGGTGTCCCAGAATCACCTGGAGGGATCCCATAATCACATGCCCCTCACTACCAGACTGGGATGGGCCTCTGCCCTCTGCTAGTGAGCAGGGATCATGTCAGGGCTTTGGGGCCACTAAGCAAGAAAGAAGGTTGAGCACTCTACTCTAGAATGCCTCTTCTCCCTCATCCTTCGGGGTCTGCCTCCCCTGGGAAATTCTCCCTGTCACACATCCCTCCTCAGCCCCATATTTAGCCCCCACCACAGCTCTCAGCACATATCCCTACCCTCTCCCCATTCCCACAAATGGTGTTCCCTAAAAGCAAGGACTGGGTCTGATTTGATTGTATCCCCTGAGTCTGGCATAGGATCAGACATTGAAGAGCAGGGTTTTTGCACTTAAGCCCAAAATAAGATCCTGAGGAGACAGTGAGGGCTGGACAGAACCTAGATGGTGTGACTTAGTGCCATCCCTAATGTGTGTCTGACTACAGGTCACACCCTCTCCCCCTCTGGCTATGTCTCTGCTGGAAGTACACTATCTCAGGTCCCATGCCTCCTCCTGAGTTCATCTGGAGCACAGACATGGGAGAAGAAAAATGGACTTGGAGCCCAAAGAGCTCAGCTTCCTGCCCAGGTCACTTAGCCTCACTCAGTCTTCTCATGTGGAAAATGAGGATGTCATCACCTGCATGACTGCTGGGGAATCAAAGGAGACAGCAGAAGTACAAATGCTCTGTCAAAATGAAATGTGCTAAACAGGTGACTACAAAGAATGTATCTCTGCTTTTCTAGAAAGGATCAAAGAACTCCAATTTGCCCAGCTCCTCTCAGCTGTCCTCAGGGTCACTTGCTTCCAATCAGTCCTCCCTGGTGTTTCCAGCCTTTTCTCCTTCTTCCTAACGTCTTGCTTTCCTAGCAGTGTGACACACTTTGGCCACAGGTGCTAAGTCTTTTCCTAGTCCCACTCTAATGCTTACCCACATATGAGCTTGGCTTCTTAGATGACCTGTGAGGGCCCAGGAAAATACAAGCTGAATCTGCCCCACTGAAACACCCAGTCTACACTTGGGCAAACTTGGCATGAATCTCCTAGTCTGGACTCCAATCTGCTCTTCCCTGCAAGACAGCAAACTCTTTCCTAGGCCCTCCCAGGGCCCAGACCCTGCCTCCATGGCCAAGAAGACTGCTGTCCTGGGCCAAGCAAGGTATCAGGATTGTGTGTGTATGCAGAGGAGGCACTTACCCGTGGCGCAGGGCCAGTTTCACAAAGCCCTTGCGGTTGCGTAGGGTGACGGCGTTCTTGCCGGGCATGGAGCTCAGAGACTCAGCTGCGCCACCCACTACGATGATGATGGCATTGCCGCTCCCATTCTTTGAAAGCAGGTAGTCTATGGTGTCCCGGTTGACAGGGCAGATGCCTGAGGGGGGACCCTCAGTCAGGCCTGCCTGCTAATGCACTCTCCACCCCCTGCACACAGTCATATGTGGACCTGGGCCCCAGATCCACCCCAGCCACTTTGAAGGTATATGGCTCTAGGCAAGCTATTCATTTGTATAAGCCCTAGCTTACTCTTCTGTAAAATGAGAACATGATACAAGGTTATTTTGGGGATTCATTCATTTGGCAAATATCCCCTGAGGTCCTAAATCTCTCTGGCTGGAGCATGGTGCTAGGGACCCAGATGAATTAGGCTGGTGGGGGTGATGGGCAAGTTGACAATGATAGTGTGACAGGCAATAATTAGGTTGTGCAGAGGCACCCTTAGCACAGGGGCTAAGGGTGCCCAGGGGTTTCCTGAGGGAGGTGCTCTGCACATTTCTCTTTCATCCATCTCTCTCCAGCTGGACCCAAAGAAGGAAGGTCAGCAGGCCAGTTCTTAAGCTTTCCCTCCTCTTTTCTATCACCCAGATCCTCCTCTGCTCCTTCTTCCTCATCCAGGGGTGCTGCTCAGCCCTCTAGAGGGGTGGCAACCCTAGGCCTGAAGAGACCCACCAGCTGGTGCCATGGTCCTGGCTCTTGGCATCTCAAGCAACCACACTCCAGATCCTAAGGTGGGTAAAGGGTAGCATTATTGGAGGGCCTAGTGCAGATGTCAGGGACTAGGTCTGATTTGATTGAAAGCTGTAGGGAGGGGAGAGAGAGGAATGGGCCGAGCAAAACTGATCAGAAAAGCTTAAGAGAGGTGGTGCCAGTGTGGACTCAGAGGGAACTCAAATGCCAGATATTTTTACAGGTGAGAATAGTCACACAGCTAAGAAACAGTATAACCCAGGTCTGGCCATTCTGTGCCTGGAATCTCCTAATACACAGCAAGAGACCAGGAATAATGCTCAAGGCAGAGGCAGAAGTCAAGTCAGGCTAAGCCAAGGCCTAGCTCTGGCTGCAGCAACACTGCTGAACCCTGCAGCCAGAGGTCCCACCAGCAGTCAGTACAGCCTATGGAGATGGCGGAGGTAGAAGCCACCAATTTTAACACTAGTGTCATCCTCTCTGCCTAGACTCTCACCTTCAAGCCAAAACACTGCTCCAATTTCTTCCTGAGAAGAAGTCCACCTTGATCCTGGGGGGAACCACATGCAGGGAAGTATTCCTCAACTTCTCATCATAGGATAAGGCCCAGTCACCCTTCTCTTCTACTTATCAAAAGCCTATCCTTCTCAGCCTTCAGCCTCAGCCCAAATGTCACCTCCTGCTTGAAAAGTCTTCCATCTAAGCCAGGATGAGTCCTCGCCCTGGGATTCCAGAGAACACTGCTCACATATCTGTATGAACATCTCTCTAGTGCAGCCTTAATCCAACTGTGTCTGTGGCACCTTGTAACACCCAGCACAGGACCAGCAGATTGGCTCCCAGCCTATCATCATGCTAAGTGGAGAGGTTCATGTCTTGATAATGAACCCCACCAGGGCAAGGAGAGGTGGAGTCTCACCTCCGGACATCAGGTACTCCCTCAGCACTGGCATCCGGAAGTTGCCGGCCAGTGTGGCCAGGTAGGGCCTTATACCAGGAAACTTCTTGCTGACTTCTGTGGCCTCTGTGCTGAAGTTGCAGAAGGCACCCAGGCCCATGATGCCATGGGGGTGATATCCAAAGATATAGTTCCTGGTGGTCAGCAAGTTGTGTGTCTTCACCAGCTGTGAGAAAAGCCTTGAGTCAGATGAAAATGGCCAGGATAGGAGTATTGGAGCACACCCCAAAGGTAGTGGGGGGACTGGACATGCCAATCACCACCTGGAACTCTGTGGGCCTCCAAGGGACTGCAGTGACTCTCCACGTCTGACCTCAGACCTTCACCACTAGGGCCACAGTGCTGGGTGCTCTGCAGTCCCTGTTTGGATTGTGAGTCCCTGGAAAGGGGTGAGAAACTTTCTCCATCCCTGCCCTAATTCCCCCAGCAAAACATGCCCCAGATCCTCTTAGTCATACTCTCCCAGCCTCCTGTCTTCCCTCCCTTGGGCCCTATCCTCTTTGCCACAGCCAGAGGGACTGTTCTATAACCCAAATCCAACCACCTGTCCCTCTCAGACTAAAAGGGGGTGTCTAGCTTCCATGAGGATAAAGTCCAAGCCTCTAAATTTAGCAATCAGGACCTTGGCTTCAAGCTCTGCTCTCACTGTCAGTCTCCAGAGACTGTGGGCTCCCTGAACGTAGTATCTATCTGACCCCTGTGCCCTGAGGATGGATCGTCCAGCCCACCACCTCCTATTCCCCGGCCCAGAAAAGGTACAGTGCAACTGGTCTAAATGGGAACTTCCTTCCAGGCAACCAGGCTCAGCTCAGGCTCTAAGGCAGGAAGGACAGGACAGATCAACCCACAGCTCTTGTGGTTGGTGGCAGCAGCTGACCACTTATGGCACTATCAACAAAGCTGACCTGAGACGCTCCAAAGAATGATTGGTTTCCTCAGGGCCCGCCCCCTACCCTGGGGCTGGTGGCTTGGAAGGTGCGGTGATGCAAAGTTTCCAGAAACCCTAAGCCATGAGCAGTGGCATCAGTAAGTTTGTGTCACTCATGCGTTAACTCATGATGTCCAACCACCTGACACCCATCTATCCACTTGGAAGTCCTCCCATACCAAACCATTCAGATAATGACAGCTCTGATGAGAGTGCCTTAGAAGGTTCAAAAAGTAAATTAGCATACAGTTTTAGTCTTGTAGGTATATTAACACACGTAAGCTGGGCTTACGAAAAATGTTTTTGTTGTTATAACTAACTACAGGGGTATTTTTCTTAAACATAAAAAATTTCTGCTGAAAATGGAACCAAAATGTTACAGACATCATTTTGATGTCTCCCCTTCTAATGGTGTCATCTAGGGCAGTCTGCATCCCCCGCACTCCTCTAGCAACACCACTGGCCATGAGAGGTAGAGAGCCAGAGACCCCTACCCAGCTTACAAGGAACATAAAAATGGAGGATGCTGAGGGGCTGAGCATCAATTTTTTCTGATTAGAAAAATAACAAAGACTTATGGAGAATTTTAAACATACAGAAACATTTTAAAAATCAAAAGCACATAAATATCTTCACCCAGATAAACAACTCTGATGTGCTGATGGCTTTCCTTTTTCTACACTTTTTTTAAAATCACAAAACTGAGCTCCCATGGTTTCATATCACTTTTATATAATTTTATAACAAACATATTATAGCTATTTTCTCTTACTAAAATTCCTCTCAGGAGCATACCTTCTCACAGCTCCGCCACAAGGAATAGAACTGAATCAAACTCCAACTGATGGGCATGTAAAAAGCTTCCAGCATTTCCCTCTTAGAAATAATGCATCAGTAAATACCTTATCTTTGTCCACATATCTGATTGTTTTCTTGAGACAAACTTCTAGAAATGTAATTCCTGGGTCACAGGGCATAAACATTTTGGGCCTTTTGGCTGCCCTGCCTCCAAAGACGTGGTTGCACTAACATTCCCACCTGCAGCGCATGAGAAGCCCACTACCCTGCACGGTGAAGCCACATCACTGGTCCTCAGCAGAATATCAAGAGCCCGGGTTTTCCAGAACCCCAGATCTGTGAACCTCTGGGCTAAAGGGAGGAACTCGTGCCCAGTTTTGGGGGAGAGGGTGCTGGTGGTTGGCCTCAGAAAACTGAAATCCAAACCTTCACCTCTTGATAGGTGACAGATTCCTGAGAGGGGATGGGATACAGGGTGGCTGGTAGCATTCTCAAATCCACGAATGCCAGTATGTGTAAGTGTGAGCAAGATTCCTTTACTTTTTACCAAGTGTTTCTTTTGTTGTTGTTGTTGTTGTTATGTGCCGTCAAGTTGGACCCGACTCATAGAGACCCCTCCTTGGGTTTCCAAGGCAGTATCACTACAGAAGTAGATTGCCCCATCTTCCTTCTGAGGAGTGGCTGGTGGGTTTGAATCACCAGCCTTCTGGTTAGGAGTCAAGTGCCTTTGGCACTACGCTACCAGAGCTCCCACTGTTCCTTTTAGGGCACTCATATCGTTTCTCCCATTTTGCCTTCAGTAAGTGGGAAACCCAGTGAACTTCCAGCTGCCTACCAACTAAATGGGGGAACAGAAGCAGCCTAATCCATGGCTAATGAGGAGTGGAGGCAGTGAGGAGATCAAAAGGAGCTGAGTTTTACATGAGCTTTGCAAGGTGGTTGTTGTGATGTTCTGCCTCCTAAAGAGCAAGTCCGCTCAGCAAACTCCTCCAGGTAAAGTTACAATTAAAAAGCCTCTGTGCAAGTTCCCAAGGAGCTCTGATGGTACAGTGGTGGTTAAGGCACTTGGCTGCTAACCAAAAGTCAGTGGTTTGAACCAACCAGCCGCTCCATGGAAAAAGATGAGGCAGTCTGTGTCTGTAAAGATTTATAGCCAATGGGGAAACCCAGTGGGGGTCACTATGAGTCAGAATAGACTCTCTGGCAGTGAGTTTGGTTTGATTTTTTGGTGCCAGTTTCCATGGAAAAGGAAGGTGTAGTGGTGCCCACTTGGCTGGGCCTGGTTGAGTGGCTAGGCAGCTGCTGGTAATTATTCCCCACAATAAGACTGGCAATCAACTCAATGGGGATCTACTCAGACAGCTGAGTAGCTGTCTTTGGGATGTTGTCTGCTTCCTGTATATAAGGAGAAGGCTTGGGAATGGTCTCTAGCTTATGGCACACTTGGACCCTGCATGTAGCTGTGTTGTTCAGCAGCCTGCCGTGCTCTGCCGACCTTAGGACTTACAACGGACTTGAATAATGGCCTGCCTTGTGGTTTGGTAACATCAGGACTCTGCCTTTTACTAGTCAACTTTGGGCTTGGCAGCCTCAGCAGCCAGCAGCTGTCTGAGTGAAGAAAAGCCTCTAGCTTCAGTGGGCCGGAGGCAGAGCTGAAGCCCAAGGCAGAGGGGCTTTCACCCAGCCCCTAGAGCCTGGCACTTTGAACTTGGACTTAAAGCCTCCAAACTGTAAGAGAATAAACTCCTTTTGTTAGGGCCATCCCATTAGTGGTATATATTCCTGTCAGAGCAGTACTAGGTAACCAGAACAGAAGGCATTAAGAGTTTAGGCAGCCAGTACAAGATTACTCTTGAGCTAATGTCCAGGCCTGATCCAATAACCAGGAGCCCAAAACACAGAATGGGCTGGAAGAGCCCTGAAGATCAGAGCCAGCCATTTGATCACAAAATGGAGACTGAGCCCTAGAGAAGAGAATCGCTGCTTCCCCAGAGGAGGTCATAGCATATCACCATCCATGTCTAGACTAGGCCACCAGCTGTTTTTCTCTGGTGGCTGGGATATAGATGTTTCATCTGATGCGACCCTAGGTAGCCCACCAAACTCTCTACCTGATTGGCCATCTGGTTAAATGAGGCGCCTCAGGGCACAGTGCAGGTTAATGGCCCTTGGCGCTATACCCAGAAGAGCAACTTTGATCTGTCTTCATTCCACACTCCCTTCCCCCAGCACTGGACAGAGTGTCTATTCAGGAAGGAGGGGGAAGGGCACTGCTGATGAAGTTCTGTTGACATGCCCTCTCTCATGTCCCCTGAATGTTCTATGGCAAAACCCCAGACTATAGTGGAGCCCAGGCCAGGTCTACTAGCTAACGTGAGGCTGGGACATGTTCCTGGCAAGTCAATCTTCACATTCTGCCTCTCGGGCCACACAAAGTCTGATTGGAGTGGCAGGCAGAATAGGTACTCAAATAGGCTGGTCCCACCCTGGCATCATATATAAAAAGACGTTCAGGCTCAGAGAAGAGCAAGGACTTTCCTAACCTTACATAGTACAACCAGGGCTGGAACTTGGGGATTGACTCTATCATCTGTTCAGCAAGTTGGTTGATGATGGTGATGGGAGATTTCAGTGTGAAAGAAGACAGGTTTCTATACGCACATCCCTGATGATCCCCCAGCCCTAGCCATGAGGCCCTAGATGTTCAGAGGCCTCATGAAGGTGGAGGAATGTGTGGGAGAGAGTATGGACCCTGAAACAGAGAGTCATGGTTCCTACACCAGCCTTGCCACTAACTTACATCATGACCTTGGTACAGTCCCTCCTCTATGAGCCTCACTCTTTTTATCTGTGAAATGAGGCAGATGGACAGATGATTCTTAGCTCAGAGTCTTTCTGAATCTTCTCTCCAAAGAACCTGTCTTAGGAAGAGGTGACCCAGAGCACTGCCCCCTCCTCTTCCAAGTAGCTAGCAGTTCTGTTGACTGCTGCTAATGAATGGACCCCACTTCTGCTAGGGAAAGGGATGTTCTTTGGGCCAGATGGGTTGCTCTGGTGGCAAAGAGAAGGGAGTAGGGAGAGTTGGAAAGGTGAAGCTGGAGATCTCATTACACAACCATTGGCAAAAGGCTGGGAAAAGGTGGTAGGATATAATCTCACAGAGTGTCAGAGCTGCCCTGACATCAAGTTACCAAGGACAAACCCTCCCTGTACAGAAGGGGAGAGTGATACCCTGAGGGGCAAGAGCTTGACCAAGGTCACCATTAGGCGAGGGCAGAGCCCAGGCTAGGTTTCAGGTTGAGGCTCAGTGGCCCAGCCTGGCTTTAGACTTGGTGCCCAGGAGCTGTTGCCGGGCCAGCCTACAGATGCCCTGTAGCTCTCAACTCCTAGCTGACTTCTTGGAACACAGATGTGATAAGGGACATGGAGCTTTGTTTTGGCTCTTTGAGAAGGGCAGAGATCAGGTGGGGAAGGGACATGAGGTTTTGTTTGGGTTCTTCTGGAAGGGTGGAAATCAGGTGGGGAGGGGAACCTGCCTGTCACAGGTCTGATGGACAGTAATCAAGTTATCTACCCTGTTATGGGTTGAGGGTGTTATCGGCTTCAAGGAAGCCTTCTGAGGACATGCCAGAGTGGATACTGGGCAGGTTATGCTGAGCACAGCCTGGGGCTGGGGCCCTGAGCAAAGGGGCCAATAGAGAGTGCAACAAAACAAACGCAACACACTGCCCTCGAGTTGGATCCAACTCATAGTGACCCTTCCTTGGGTTTCCGAGGCGGCATCATTACAGAAGTAGATTGCCCAACCTTCCTTCTGAGGAGTGGCTGGTGGGTTTGAACCTCCAGCCTTCTGGTTAGCAGTCAAATGCCTTAGACACTATGCCACCAGAGCTCCCAATAGAAAAAGCAGAGTCCAGAGTACTTCACAATAATCAAAATTTACTACTTTTATCATGTAAACAGACCCATTTTGCAAATGAGGCAAAGGAGGCTCCATACGTTTGAAAAAGTTGACAATGGTCCCAAAGGCAGAAAGTGACAGAGTCTAAAAGGGTTCATCTCCCTAGGGTAGGGACCAGAGCTGACTCTCTGGGTCTTCGTGCCTAGCACAAAGCCCAGCACTGGACAGGGAGCAACAATGACAGGTCAGTGGATATAGTGACAAAGCAGGAGACAAACCTACATCTCCGACTCCAACCAGGAACCGGGCATCAATCCAACAGAGATGTTCTGGGATTGAATCTCTCCCAGAGAATCAGGCAGTAGGAATTCAATGGAAAAGAACCTGAGGCCAGGATTCAGGAAGTCTGGGTTCTAGTAGTAATGCTGCCACGGACCTGCTGTGCAACCTAGACAAGTTCTTGCCCCTCTTTGGGACCTGGTTTTTCTCACCTCCAAAATGAGAGGGTTGGGTCTCATTATGCAACATCCTCTCAACATCACCACCTAAGAATTATTTGCACACAATACATGGGGAGGGAAAAGAAGAGGCGGGGGAGGGGAACCAGGCCCCCAAGGAGAGGAAGGTCCTGAGAAAACTGGGCTTAGGCTGAGATGGTCTGAGGGTGCTGGCCCTGGGCTATCCCTACAATACTGAATTTAGGGGAGGAAGTGGGACTACCTGGCCATCTCCCCCAGAAAGCATACTGGGGTTTCTCAATTGCTGACTCATAAGAGTAAATGTACACCACCTTATACCACGCCCCAAACACTTTCACACTCTCACACTGCCTCCAATCCTCAGGACCAGCCACCTCCGCTAAGTTACCTCAGCAGCTAGGGCGTGTCAGAAATGGGACACTGAGGGAGCTGGCCAGACAGGTCTTTCCTCTGAGGGCTAAACCTTCAGTGTTCTCCCAGAGTTCCCCACAATCCACCAGGACTGCCCTCATGCACCAGGGCCCCTGATGCCTCTACCTTGCCAGCCCAGCTTGCAGACCACAGGCCACCAGGGTGCAGATTGAGAGATAGAGATAAGAGTGAAAACCAGATGGAGCAACATTTATCCTGTCAGGACCTCAGGGTCAGCACTAGAGAAGACAAAGAGGGTGAGGGCGCAGCAGCCAGTGGTCAAAAAGGAAGGAAAGCAAGAGACCAGTTGGTCTAAATTTGCTTCCCCAAAGGGAAGGGACAGTGTCTTACCAGGGTCATACTGGTTCTTTCTACCTCTCTCTCTCCAAGTCTGCAAGAAGTCTGTGTATTCACTCAGCTTATTTGGGGCATGGAGAGGCAGTGTTCTGTGGTAGGAAGAACCTTCTAAAGATCTTAATAGAAACACTTCTCTCAGCCAGTCTCTGGGGGGGTAGCTGGGGCATCATGGCTTGGTGGATAGGGGCCCAGACAGTTTGATATGCAGTGAAAAAAGGACAAGACCCTGGAAGCTGAAGTGGCTGGGGAAGGCTTCTGGCAGAGGTGCTCCTTAAGGAGAAGTAGCACTGAGAAGAAAATAGAAAACAACAAATTCTGCCAAGGGTGGAAAGACTACTAGTGGGATTGTAAAATGGTGCAACCACGTGGAAAACAGTAGGGCACTTTCTTAAAAAGCTGGAACTAGAAATTCCCTATGATTCAGCAATCCCACTACTAAGTATATATCCTAGAGAAATAAGAGCCATAACGTGAACAGATACATGCATAGCCATGTTCATCACAGCACTATTCGCAATAGCAAAAAGATGGAAACAACCTAAATGCCCATCAATGAAGGAATGGATCAACAAACTATGGTACATACATACAATGGAATACTGTGCAACGTTAAAGAACAATGATGAAGAATCTGCAAAACATCTCATAACATGGATGAACTTAGAGCCCATTCATTATGCTGAGTGCAGTTAGTCAATCACAAAAGGACAAATATTGCAGAGACTACTATTGTAGAAAGTCAAGAAAAGGGTTTCATAAAAAAAAAATTTTCTTTGATGGTGGGTGGGGAAGAGAAGGTAAACCACTGACTAGAGGGTAGATACATATTAACCTGGGTGACCAAAAAAACTAAACTCACTGCCATCAAGTTGATTCCGACTCATAGTGACCCCCTTTGGGTTTCCAAGGTGGTAAATCTTTATGGACGTAGATTGCCCGGTCTTCCTTCTGTGGAATAGTTAGTGGGTTTGAACTGCTAACCTTCTGGTTAGCAGTCAAATGCCTTAGGCACTATGCAAAGGGAGGATAAAAAAAATAAAAAAGAAAAATAGTGCTGAGGAAGCAGGGTAACAGCGAGAGCACAGGCAGCTGTGTTTGAGAATAAGCTTGGGGTATGGGAGATGGTGAGGAGGCAGGGTGAAGGGGGAGGATCTCCATTCACTGACAGCCTGCTAGGAGCCAGCACCTTTTTTCAGGGAATCTCCTTTAACCTCACAGCAGCCTGTAAGGCAGGCATTAATTCAATCCCATTTTTACAGAAGAGGAAAGTGAAGGTCAGAAAGTAGCAAAAGTACATGAGGCTAGTGAGGGGCTGAGCTAAGATTTCAAATGCTGTCTTGCCTCAAAGCCCATGGCCATGAACCCCCAGTAATCCATTTAGCAACTAGCTGAGAAATATTTCTTCAAGATCTTTGTTAGGAAAGAAAGCCTGCCCTCCTCCATTACTTTAAGTTCTCTCCCTGGTTCAGCCACATGAACCTGGGCCTCTTTAGTAATGTCCTTCATAAACCACCTCTATATTAAATTAAAAGATCCCTGCTATCACAGTGGTTAAGTACTTGGCTGCTATCTGAAAAGTCAGTGTTTGTAACCTCTCAGCCACTCCATGGGAGAAAGATGATTACAGGCATACCTCGTTTTATTATGCTCTGCTTTACTGCATTTCATAGATACTATGTTTTGTACAAACTGAAGGTTGTGGCAACCCTGTGCTGGGCAAGTCTATTGGTGCCATTTTTCCAACAGCATGTGCTCACTTCTCATCTCTGTGTCACATTCTGGTAATTCTCACAATATTTCAAACTTTTTCATAATGCTATTGCACACTTAATAGACTACAGTATAGTGTAAACATAACTTTTATATGTACTGGGAAATCAAAAAATCTGTGTGACTCACTTTATTGAGAAATGTCCTTTATTGTGGTGGTCTGGAACCAAACCCATAATATCTCTGAGGTACGCTTGTACAGCCTTGGAAACCCTATGGGCCACTATGAGTTAGAATCAACTTAACAGTAATAGGTTTTTTTTTTTCTTTTTTGGTATATTAATTTATGCCCTTACTATTCACCAAAGGGCACAGCAAGGAATGGCTATAATGTCTGCTGTTGTAACTAATCCTTTTATCACTCAGGATATAATACATTTATGTGAAATATGTATCTTCTGATCATGTTTCCTTTTTTGCCTTGGCTACCAAGGCATTCAGAGTGGAATGTGAAGCTCAACCACAACAACTCTGTTGACCCTTATGGCTGAAATACTAGTTAGGGTTTCCTCCCTCCCCTCAAATCTTGATTTTTGACTTACCCTGTGTGGCATTACATGTATTCTAAAACCAGTTGTTGTCGAGTCCATTCTGTTCCCATGTGTGCTGGAGGAGAACTATGCTCCATGGAGTTTTCAATGGCTAATGTTTCTTCCAACGCACCTCTGGGTGGACCAAAGCCACCAACATTTCGGTTAGCAGCCAAGCACAGTAGCTGTTTGCACCACCCAGGTGCAAACTTCCTATGTTTGTACCACCCAGGGACTTCATATGTATCCTAAATTGCCTCAAATTACTGCATAACACAGAGTGGAGTATGAATAGATGTTCACAGTGGAAGATGCCACATGGTTCAACTTGTCATGTGCTCAACCACTTAACCCCCTGGATGGATGGTGTGTTAAGGTCTGAGTTCAGATTTTTCATTTGCTCCCACCCACCCAAGATAACACACACAAGCTTTACCTGGATGGGAAAGTAGTCTCGAAAGTAGCGCCACACAGCCCAGTTTCGGACCCACTGTGACCGCCTGCCACCTTCCGGGAAACAAAAAATAATGTTGGGAAAGAGTGGGGATGGGATCGAGGGGAGACTTGGGCAAGACAGACAAAACAGAAGAGTTTAAAACTGCCACAAGGCCCCTAAGGAAACTGGGAATATGGCATTCCAGTTTGAGATAGATTAACTATGATCTTACACAACATCTGCCCCCATCTTCCCTATGGGCCGTATTCCATATTCATTCTCTCATGTTATGCAAAGCTTGAACATAGTAGGTGCAGGAGGGAGATAGAACCAAGGGTGAGAGGGTGGTCTGAGGGAGGCTCCATGAGCTTGTACCTTTGTTGGGCGTGTTCCAGTCAAATGCCAGCCAGGTGAAGTAGAGCACAGCAATGAGCCAGCAGTCGGTGCAGAATGTGTACATGAGGATGACGCTGCAGATCACTCCTGTGGGGGGCAAGCAGACAGCCGCAGGTCAGGCCCTGCTCCCCCCTCAATGGGCCTCAGTCTCCCTTCTGGGCAATGGTAGTCTGGGGTCCTGAACCAAGACTCATTAAGTGGCTAAATGAGCATTTACCATGTGGCTAAAGGAGCATTTACCATGGCACTAAGTTAGGCAAAGCCAGAGCCACAGACAAAGGGGGACTGTGACCATGGCATGTGAGAATGGCTTAGGGAATGCTCAGCCTGGGAGGGCAGGCTCACTGGGACATAAGTCTCATCCTTCAGACTGGTGGACTGTCCCAGCATCAAGGGGGCAGAGGGGCTCTCTGTTGCCTGGGCAGTAGAGCTGGAGCAGGTGGACTTCAGCTTCCTGTGAGTGTGTTCTTAGAGCTGTTCTGTCCTCTCCTTGAACGCTCCCCCTACCCACTGGCCAGCACAGAATTACTGTGAGTGAGGGGAAGGAACACCTTCCAAGAGCCACTACATCTCAGGATTTGTGCTGAGCCACTGTTTCAATTGTGAGAAGGTAAATTTTACCCAATTTTGGAGGTAAGAACACTGAGGTTCAAGGGGGAAGTAACCTGCCAGTGGTCACCTGGCAGGACAGTGGCACAGCCAGAAGTCAAACCCAGGTCTGACTTTAAAGGCCATACTTTGTGACCAGAAGTTCACCAAAAATTAGAACCCATCAACGTCCTCTCCTCAAGAACCCTAACATGGCACTCAGAAACCTTCCCTGGGACCAGCTGCTACCTGGTCACTCTGTTCTGGGCCTGCTGGCCACAGTCATAGCCACAAGGTTGAAAACCCTGGCACAGAAGGGAAGGGAGGTGCCAAGCCTGGTTTATCTTATGACTCACCCCCAAATGTCCTTACAGGGCTTCTCTCTTTCCAATTCTTGCCCAACCTTTAAGGCCTGGCTCAGACTTTACTTCTTCAAGAAGCATCCCCCATATTATACTATTCCCATATCAGGCATCTCTCACCTCTGAGA